CAGAAACAGCGTGGTTAGCCTCAGAGAGGAAGAGCTGCAGCTGTGTGACCACCTTGTGCCAAGCCACAAGTGCCTCGAGGGAAATTCTTGCGGAGAGCACCTGGCTGAGCTGGAGCATGGTCTGCCTTTGCTACCGGTGGTAATTTCTAGCCCTAACATTTCTCAGCACCTAAGGAATTGTACCTGATTCTCTTCCCTGCTTTGGGCAGAGCCCCCATCCAAGCCCAGGCAGAACCAGCCTTGCAAACACTGGACCTACGCCTGCCTCCTGCTCCAGCATCTCTAGCCTGCTCCGTGTGTGGTTCTGCAGCACAGCACAAGTTAGAGCAGCTTTAGCATCTCCCACAACCAGGGCAGTGCAAAAGAGTTGTTTTAAAGCCCGTCTGACTTTCCTTTTTCCACGGAGTGTGGGATTTACTCAGGGGCTTGGGAAACTAAAGCTAGGAGCTTATCTAATCTGGAGTCTATCCCACAGCCCTTAATTTGTTATCTGGAAATTTGGAAAATGCAAGTATCTCTAATTGAAAACAAGAGCCGTTTGTGTGTCATGGTTAATGCAGATTTATTTCTGACAAGAGAGTAAATTCAGCACAGATTGGAACCAGCTGCCCCAGCTCTAAGTACCTGAGTCTGCCCTCCACGTCTCCAGGCCTAGGACTTGGATGCTGTCATGCCGTAAGTCTCACTGGCTGAGGCGACAGCTCAGCATTGTCCTTGCTTGCATGAGGAAATAAATGCTCCTGAGCAAGGACCGGCAAGGGAGCTTGGTCATGGAAAACCTGAGAGCCAAATCAATCTACTTAATGTGTGATTGATTCCTCCAGCAAGGGGAGGAAGCAGGAACAGGGAGTGCAAAGGGGCTTACAGATAGAGAGGAACACATTTTATTCCAAATCTGCTGTCGCTGCTTGAGCTGCGGCAAGAGCCTGTGCCCAAGGCATGCCCACAATCAAGGTGGGTAGGAGGAGGTGAGCACCAGCGAGCTGAAAGCAGAGCACTGACCGGAGGAGGATCCAGCAGGCAGCTGTGGCTTGTCTTGCTTTTGAGAGCAGCAGGGCCTGTGGATCATTTACTCCAAACACACAACATCTCTTTCATAGCAGGGTAGGTCAGTAGAACAGGGCATTTCACTTCTCTTTGCTCATTTCCCCTCTGTACGGTCTCACCTATACGGACTGTAAGATCTGTGGAGCAGGACTATCTTGTAGGTTACAAATACACCGGATTTTGATTGCCACTTGGGGAAAAACTGTGTCAATCCTGCAGCTTCTGGTCCGCATGCCTTCCCCCAGGGCAGTGCTTGCGCCCTGTGGTGCTCTGTAGCTGCTCAGTCACGTGGAAAGACGCCAGCTCTGATTAATACCCCAGCTACAGGAGAAGCTGCTTTGCACTGAGCTCCCCACACAGACACAGATAAATCACTGTTCTTCTCCTTCCCTGCAATTGCGAAGAGCTCTACCTCCACAGGCCTTGAGATGCTTATCACAGAAGAGCGTAGGAGGGGTCAGGGAAAGACTTGAACTGAAAATACCTTACAGCGAGAGACCTTTCATTTCTTTCCTGGGTAGCTCTGGAAGCTACACCGTCAGCATTTCCATTTGTGGTCTGATCATATGCACTCAGACAAAAATTCTTATAGGACACAGGTTGAAATGAGCATTTGGCAGAAGAGAAAATGGTCCTTTTGAAAACATGCTTCTTTCTTTGAAATTTAATTTCAAATTTATTCCTTCTCTTGAGCAACTCTGCTGCTCGTCACAGCTCTTGGTCTCAGTCAGACAACTCAAATCCAGCCAGGACATCCAAGTACATCGAAGAATTTTGTTGTATTGTTTTCACAGTTAGCTGTTGTAATCATCAAAGGTAAAGCATCAGGTAACGTGGTGCTGTTTCATGCAGCAGAGCAGGTTGTTTCCAACGTGCTCTGGCTGCTGTATGATCGCCAAGAAGAGGCACTGCGCGCACTTCAAACATACTAAGTTACAACTTAAAAACATTTGCACAAAAACAGCTGCATCTCCTCTGCCCAGTGGATGTTCTGTTGGCAGATGCTGTAGAAACAGCAAATTCTCAGGCAGGAATTACACTACAAGATGAAGAACACTTTGGTTTTATTACACCAATAAAGAGCGTCAAGCCAAGAGGCAGTCAACCAAAGTAGTGAACAGAGCACATTCAGCAAGGAGCAAACTCTGCTGAGTTTTCTTTCACATCCATCAATTATCCTTCTGCAGAACAGTTCTTCTCGACAGGACTATCAGCTGCAGCCACAAGCCTGCACATTTTGCTAAGAGTAGCAGTGATACTGCTTCTCCGTGCCTTTACTTAAACATAACAGATCTTACCCATGCACAAATTATTCATTTTCTTCTGCTAGCAACGACAAACCGTGAGCATTTTCCGCTGGGTAAATCACTTCCAATTACTGCCCTGTGGTAAACTCATGGCTGCATTTAACACCATTCACAGCTGTATTTCAGCAAACAGCAAATTCGTTCTTGTATGTGCTGGTTTGCAAAAGTCCCAAGGAGCTTTTAGGCCATCAGACACAGAACGGGAGAACAGCGCAAGGAAAAAAAATCTTGCTAAAACAAAGAGTCACTTACCTGCTGGGAGTTACAGAGGCAGAGCCAACAGCAGCCTGCTGCAATGACCTTGTTGGGGCCAGAGGAGCTTAGGTTTGCCAAATTTAAAGGATCAGCCCCGGCGAGGCATGCTGGGTCGGGGAGAGCCCTCTGAGGAGCATGTTGTGGGGTGGGTGGTGAGAGGTCAGCAACGCAGTGGTGAGATGGGATGGCTGCAACTGCAAGGGGCTCTGCTTCCGAAGCACTCTTGAAAATGACTTTTGTGAGGGTTGCAGGGTGAGGAGCTTGGACCCGAGCCGACTTGTGCACAAAGGGGAGTTTATTCGTTGTGGTGCAGCTCCAGCAGAGGACAGATGCCTCCCCCAGCCCCCCTCAGCCTTTCTCCTCTCTCCCTCACCACTCGTTGGAGCCAGCTGGGGCTGCGATCTGCTGGCATATCCAACTCAGAGCCAGGTCTTGGCTCAGGCTGCAGCTGGGATTATCCCCACACGTCCCACCTGAGGGCCCTTCTCCACATCGCACCAGTCCCTGAGGCATCCCGTGGGTGCTGCCTCTGTCAGGCCTCCCTCGGGCCGAGGCGGCGGGCCGCTGGGTTCCCCCGCTAACCAGCCTCTGTTTCTGTCAGGACAGTAGTGAGGCAGCTGATGGAGCTGGCCCCTGGGATGAAGAAGTCACCAAGTGGTGGGGAGAGTGGAGCTCCTGGTCCACCTGCTCGCGGTCCTGCGGGGGAGGCGTGATGTCCCGGGAGAGGCACTGCCTGCGACAGAGGTACGTCTGTCCCCACAGCACCCCTTGGCCAGCCCTCAAGGGGCACAGGGGTGCCCCGACCCACGTTTTGGGCTCTAGGGCCTCAGAAAGGAAGGCAGGTGGGCAGCCAGCAGGCTGTGGGAGACTTGAAGATGACAGGGTTGTGGGCTGGAGACCAGCTTTATTCCTCCTCCACTGTCCTTCACAAACCCTGCTTCTCCACGGCTGCTCTGAGCAACCTAACCCTGACTCGTAGCCAGTTCCTGTGCGTAGGATTTTGGCCCTTATTCCCAGACACCTTCTGGGGACTCGGCTGGCAGCAGCCAGCTCAGCCATGCCTCAGCAATTTCCCCTTTTCACTCCCTGCAGAGCTGGCAAGATTTTGTTCCCCCTGTCATTTATCTGGCTGTCACCTGACAGCATCTCCATTTGTCCCCTGCAGCTGCTACAGCCCTGGCACTGATTGAACGAGGTTTGTGGGGAGCTCCAGCTGTCCCCTGTGGGTCACCTTGCCACCAAGCCCTCCTCCTCGGGCACCTCACTAACCTGCTTCTCCCGAGCTGTTAATGAGAGCCAGCATCCTGCAGCACAGCAAGCCTCAGGGGTTGCCCGGCCCCTTTCCCTTCTGCGTGAATGCACTCGGGAGTGCAGGAAGCTCAGACAAGGGCCCCCCACCTGCTCTGCCTCCTGCAAAAGGAAACTTCTTTCATGTGGGCTGGTTGGCAGCATCGGGAGGGTCCAGATGTGCTGAGGTGCCGTCCATCTGGACGTGGCCTCCCCACTGACGAGGCTTGCCAACATCTCTGCCTCTGCTTGACACAAAACCCAGCCAAAAGGTGCTGCAGCGCTAAGCAAAGCAGCTTGTGAGCCAGCTGTGCCTCACGAAACAATTTTTGCCCAAGTCTGCAGACTGCCCCTGCTTCAGCTGAAAGGCATGGTGATTTTTGAAGCCTTGTGGTGCAAATTTAAGCTTTGCCTACACCACATAAAGCATAGCTCTGCAGGGATAGCTACAATACATCGAGGCAGTCCAGCGCGTATGGCTACTGCGCACCCTAAGTTCCCAGCCCTGTTAACCCACTGTCTGCTGCTGATCTTTACCCAGAGCACAGTGCCTTAATCTGCAGTCCTAGCCTTTCTCCCCACACCTTCCCAGCTTTCAAGTTTTTTTCAGCATATGCACATCAGGAACTTGGACAAATGTTGCTGGCCAGAGCTAAAGCATCAACTGCTGAAAAACTCATGTTTTTTTGTCCGTTACCTGTACCAAACCTCTCCTGTTAATCTTTTAGGGTGTCCATTCCCCATGGGAGGTGCCATCTCTCTGCCTACTGCTCAGTGAATTCTGAAATCAATCCCCCTGCTCACTTCAGATCATGGGAGTGGTGGATCTACTGGTCTGTTGTCCTTCTGTCAGATCAACCCTATGGGAGCTCAGAGGTGAAGGGGCACAGCAGTGCCAATACTTCACTTGCTCCCTGTTCTACTCAAACTGCCCCAAAAAGAGAATAGCCTAAAATTGCATTCCACCTAAAAACACTGAAAATGCATTTCAGAGACAGTGGCTGGCATAGATACAGAAAGCTTTGCTCTGATAAAACACTAGCCTGGCTTCTCCTTGTTAAGCCAGGCCTGACTTCTCAGTTATCTTCAATTTCTTAGAGTTTCATGGACCTCCAGCTCATTTCTGCATTCTCATTCTGCTTTGCAGGCTCCAGATGCCCCAGGGAACAAACAGCACCATGTGTGTTGGCCAAGCCAAACACTACCAACTGTGCCAGCAGCAGGTGAGAACCACTTCCAGCACCGACTGGTTCTTACTGGGGGATGTGGGATGCAGGGGTCTGCACTTGGAGCTTCAAGAGCACCAGCAGTCAGGGTGTGACTGGTCTGTCAGAGGCATGGGCCACTCCTGGGGCAGCGTGCCTCTGAAAACAGGGGAGATGGGCTCTACTCTCTGGGACTGAAAGGTGGGGAAAAAGGATATAGATAGGTTAGATTAGATTATAGATATATTTGTTGTGGGGTGGGGGGAAGGAAGACGTTTTTCCAGTATGCTTTTCCCTTTGCTGTAAGTAAATTTTGCAGTACTGTTAAATGCAGCTGTCTGAGGCAATGGAAGCCTGTCCCTTCTGCCTGTGTTACAGCACCTCAGAGTCCATCACTGATTCCTTCCAGGGTGGACAGGGCATTTTCATCCTCCAAGGATGCAGCAGGGACAAGCAGCTGTCACAACCATGGCTGCAACATAGGGAGCTTTTGATCACATTTATTCCCTCCATAGCCCTGCCCAGCCAACACAGCAAGCTTCAAACAACAGCAGTGCTCCAGTTTCAATGCCAAAGCCTTTGGGAAGCGCTACTACCACTGGATGCCCCTCTATCCAGGTGGGTTTTCACAGCTTCACACAAAGGATCAGGGTGAGAAAACACCTACAGGATCTCCTCAGACACAGGAGAACGACGCAGGGGGCAAGGGATGGATGCTCCTCGTTGGTCTGGAAGTACTTTCCTCTGCTACCTCCTTTGGAGAAATCATTCCCTGTTTCTTCACAGAACCTCTCTGCCCAGCCAGGCCTTCTCTCTCACCACATTGCTCCTGTTTTGGAAAATACGTCAGCAAGCGCTGGCGGGCAGACAGGACACAGGCTCCTCTGAGGTGTCTCAGCAGTCATCCTGGCAGAGTGGCTGTTCAATCCCTGCGTGCCTTCTTCCATTTTGGCTGCCTCTTTTGCCCAGTGTGCTTCCCACTGGGCTGGTGGTGGGTTATTCTGAACAGGATGTCCATCCGTTTCCTGTGCAGAAGAGATAAATTGCTTCACGTGGCTTGCCAGATGGCCCTTGAGGCCCAGAATCAGCTCCTCTGAGACACGACTGTCTTTCTGGACCTGCCTGTTTTTCTCTTTCCATTAGCTGCCAAGGGAACATAGAATATCTGTACCTCTTGCTCCAGTTATCAGCTGGAAGGGGTGTAGCTGGCCACGGTCGGTACAGTTGGTGCCTCTCTTACAGGTCTTTTTTGCTCTTGTGTATTTATGTGTGGCCTGGGATCTGCTGAGGCAGATTCCCCTGTCTGGCACAAGGGATGGCACTGTAAAGGGGAGAGGGTATGGCAAGGAAGTGGTTTTGCCATCGAGAAGCACTTCTGCCAGGCCTGGTCCCCATCTGCAGCCTCATACCACAGCCCCTTTACTGCCGAAACATCTGTAGCCTTGGGGTCTCATCTCAAGAAGCAAGAACATCAAAGGTGATGTCAAACCAGCAGCATGGATAAGAGGAAAGTCCCCTTCTTCACTGCCCGTTTCTGATCACCTTGCTCTGCCTCTGTCCCTTCAGATGACTACACCAGCATCTCCAACAAGCCCTGTGACCTCCAGTGCACCACTCGGAGCGGAGAGAGACAGCTGATGGCCCGAGCACAGGATGGTACCTCCTGCAAGGACAGGACCCATCAAGGAGTCTGCATCAATGGGAAGTGTGAGGTGAGGCTCTGGAAGGAAATAACACAGAAATGGGGAGTATAAACGCATGGTGGAACCTCCAAGGCCAAGGGCCCCAGCAGGGAAGTGAAACCAAGGCCTGGCAGGAATAATTACACTCCCTTTTGAATGCCTACGGACTAGAACAGAGCACAAAAGACATTAGATTCACATTCCCACTGAGTAACAGAACTTTCCTCCCAGTACAGAGAGGACTAGAATTGAAGTGACTATGCTTTCATAGTCATCCAAGTTGAAAAAAAAATCTTATATTTGATTTATCCTGCATGCAGCAAGGATGAAGGATGGGTGTGTGTAGTGTTACGCTGAGGTGTCTTAAAACCTCAAGTAGGCCTGCCTTTGACGCAGCATCTCCTGCAGAGTGATGCTGAATGTCACTAGTACAGCACAAAGGATTGGCTTAAAGACAGCTACAGAACAAACTGAAACAGCTTACCCAAATCTTACTCCAGTCACCTACACACACACAACCCTGTCCCAGCTGCAGGGGCACAATGTAAATGGTCACAGCTTGCACCAGTGAATATCTCCTGCTGCCAGATTCATTCATTCACCACCCTGCTCCAAGCTACCCTACACCCACACCCAGAACCTCACCTAAATAATGTGGTAGCGTTTCCTTGAAAAGACCCTGCCCCCAGGAAACCCTTTCTTGTTTTATTCTTTGCAGCCAGTGGGGTGCGATGGGAGCCTGTATTCGCCCCGGACGATGGACAGATGCAGGGTGTGTGGAGGGGACGGCAGCACTTGCCACCGTGTCTCGGGCAGCTTCCGAAAGGCAATCTCACAGATAGGTACTCCCTGCTACCACAGTCCAGAGACTTCACCTGCTACTCCTTACCACCAACTGGCATGAAGGGTGACTGGCTTGAATGCGGGTAGGAGTTTCCCAGCTGCTTGGTGGAAAGAGCTGAAGAGTGTCGCCACCTCTGCTTAAATGCCTTTGTTTTATCCTATTAGCTTAATCAGAGGAGATAGGTTTTGATGTGCTGTATATTAGCCTGGCAAGTTTTCCCTTTACCTCTTTACTGGAGGAAGCAGCTGGGGATCTATTTGTTCGTATTGATTTTGGCAGCTCCCCCACCTCAGGCGATGTGAAGAGGTCAATGAATCTTCTTTATTTGTGCTAGGCGTTCACTGGAAGCTTAGGTTCCTGTGATGAGGGTCACAGCATCTGTTTCAGCCTGCACTTAGTCTCCAGCTTTCCCCAGTCCTACGGTTGTCACAGCTGTGGGACAGTCCCTCTGAAACGGGGCTGAGATTAACAGTTTATCTCCTGCCACCTCATGGCTCATTCCTCCACTCACAGAAGAAATAGACTGTGGTATGCTCATTAGTAATTAACTGTGGTTTGAGGATGTTTTAGAACATCATTTCACATTGCTGTAGTTCCACTAGTCTACCTCATTCTCCACAGATGCTAGACCAGAGAAGCACTCGGGCTCCTTTCCAGGCTGGGGTAATGGTGCCGACCTCTCTAGCAGTACACAAACAGTCTTGGCATTCTGTTCCAGCTCTCATAAAATCTTACAGGGCAGGAAGAAAACAATGAATTTCTATTAGGAAAGACAAGCTGGCAAACCCACACAACTTTAAGAGCCTTCTCACTTCCTCTCCATTTAAAGGTCAATCTTTAAGCTCCTCTTGAGACAAATTCTGTTGAGTCAGGAGCTGAGGGGACCTACAGTCTTCTCCCTCCTCCCTTCAGCATTAGTGTTAGTCACTAGTAAGCTTTTTCTGTGCTCTTGCCAGAAAACTTGAGAGCACATTCATTGACGCACCTAAAGCCACACAGTTATACTTGCACAATTCCTTTTTAACAAACCCAGCTGTAGTCAAACTGAGCCTTAGAGACCTGTAATGGCCATCTGTAAAGGGATTTCATAGGGGAGCTAGGATTGGAGCTCACAGCCTGGCGTGATGTGTTTATGTCCTTAAACAACCTGCTAGGGGTAGTTCTGCCCTCCTACTTGCACACTTATCCCACAAATTTCTTTGCCTATGTACGCCTTTTTATTTCGTCCTCAGGGTTTCCTCACCTCCGTTCTGTTCCTGCTCCTCAGGTTATGTGTTCATCACCAACATCCCTGCCGGTGCCACCGACATCCTCATCATTGAGCGCAGGAAGACAGAAAACATCCTGGGTAAGCAGAGGATCCACAGGGATGTGGAGCTGCCAGTTCAGCTCTCCTTATTGCCAATGCAGTTTCAGTGCTCTGCATAGAATATCATATTTGTCTCTTTTGTCTCTTCTTTGAAGCACTTGCTGATGAATCTGGGCATTTCTTTTTCAACGGCAACTCTGCCATTGACAACCCCCAGAACTTCAGGGTGGCTGGCACGATCTTCAAGTACCGGCGGCCCTCGAGCCTGAACTCAGATGGGCTGGAGTATATCATAGCTCAAGGGCCCACTAACCAGTCTCTGAATGCCATGGTAAGTGAAGAGCTAGTTTTAGGCCTTCCTGTCTTGCCTGTCCCAAAATTGTGAGCCTCCCCAGACAAATGGAATATTCACCTTGTTCCCAAACCAATTGCCTGGGGCTGAGGAAGCCAGGTACTGCCTTGCAGGTTTCCGAGGATGCTATCTTCTCTTATCATCTGTCACAAAGTAGCTGCGGTTAGAAGAGATCTCTGTGAAATACATGCCCTTAAAATAAAACAAGTTTTGTTTTCTTCCCTGTTTCCTGCAGTACTATAACTTCAATGGCAAAATGCCACATATAACTTATGACTACACTGTACCACGGACACCACCACCTCTCCGAACTGCAGCCCCTGCTGTAGACAGACCTCACTATCATCACCTGCTAGAGACCAGCCAGAACTATCCTGCTCCAGCCAACTCCAGAGCTGCCAAGGACTCCAACGCCACATGGCTCTCCCTGCCACCAGATGACACCAGCGAACAGCTTAAGACAACCTTAAGAGAAAGGCATGAAGATTTAGGCTTCAGTCATCCGCACTTCTTCCAGACCAACTCCACCAGTCAGCCTCGGGGCTGGGTCTGGGAACAAGGTGAAGAAAAGGAGAAATATGACTTCCAGATAAGACAGGTCTACCATGCAAACACAGCAGGAGAGGAAGAGGAGGACGAAGCAGCAGCAATCGGTGGAGAAACAGAATTGGGTTGGTTGCTTTATTTTTCTTTCTCTCACAAGTCTGCATTCATTGATAGTGGACGTTCCACATTGGCTTACTTGAAATCTAGAGTGGCTTTCCCATTGGAGCTGCCAGAAGAGAAGGATGGTTAATAACAGGGGTGGACACTGTCAGGGAGCAGTAAGGGCTGGTCGCTCCTTAAGGGAAGGGGAGCAAAGCTGAAGTTGATCTGGGAAAGCCAAACAATTCAGGAACAGAAGTAAGAGCAAATCTCACCTACAACATAGGTGAGGCCAGACCTGAACTTAAATGGAGCTCCTGGGCCATGGGTAGAGAGTGCGTGGGGATCCCACGTGAGGCTGGTCAGGGCAGTTAAGGTGCCATGCTGGCACCTTATGATTTTAAGGCCAAATACTTCATGCTTTTTTTCCCCTTACTGGACACCTAAACCACATGCTGAAGTCTAAGTCATACAAGACAGTGAAAGCATCCCCCTGTTTCTCTTCCAGCCCTCAGATTCAATCAGATTTCCATCAGCACAGCTGTACCCTACAGCACGAGGAGATCCGAGCTCTCGGAGAACAGCCGTGCAGCGTCCTCCAGGCTTCGCCTCTTCAGGCGGCTGTGTCACCGAGACCTGCACCACACCGCCTTCTGTAGGGAGCTGCAGCACCTGGCAGCCAGGCTGGCCCAGAGGAACTCCACAGCAGGACTATGGACCCAGACGGCTGCCCGGTGGCCGCAGGGCCTCCACAAAGCACCGTCCCGTAAGAACTCACTGGAGGACTTGAAGGTGGAGGCATATGCTGGGAGTCAGGGGGAAGCAAGAAACTACAGCGTGATGGCATCTGTGGAGAGCCCTTTGCTAGGTGCCAGCACAACCACGGACATCAGCCAGGCAGAGCCTCTGCAAGCCCCTGGCGCTGAAAGGTGGCACTTGGTTTCCTGGGCAAAACAGGAGCGTGGTTAGCTGGGGAGGGAGGGTTGAACCGATCCTGATAGTCTCACCGCTGTCCTTGACGTCCCCGTTCTCCAGTGTCTCTCCATGGCAGCTGTTGGAGACAGCACACTTGAGCAATGGTGTGTCCTCCAAAGACTGATTGGCATAGCTCCTGGTGTGACACAGAGCTTCCAGAACCTATTTTGTGTCCTCCTGCCTCAGAGGGATCCATTTAAATAGGTTCTGTAGGACCTGCAGGGCTGTGGCTATTCACAGCCTTGCTAGTCGAATACAGGAGGTGGATCAAGGCTTTGCACTCTCTGCTTGTCATTGGGGCATCTTGTCCAAGGTGGGGGGAGATGGTGATGGAGAGCAGGAACAATGGGTTTCATCCCGTTTTCAAAGAAAGTAAGGAGGAAATTTAATACATTTAATGTTTGCAGCAATTTTCATCTTTATCTCATGCCACCTCCTCCTCTCTTTGCAGCAATGAGTTTAATGTGAGCCCCGTGGGCCATGACGACATCAGCTTGGCTGACATGTATCGCTGGAAGGTCTCAGCCTATGCCCCCTGCAGCTCCACGTGCACTTCAGGTAGGTGAAGACCTGATCTTATTTTCAAGACGGGTTCATCCCAGTAACTTCCTTTAATTGGAATCCACACAACCGGCCCCCAGTTTCTTTGCCATTTGGTTCCCTGTTTTTATGGTATCTAGAGAGGGCAGATGCATTTTGATAGAAAACCAGGATATTATTGCAATGCCATTGGTCTTAGAGTGGCATCTTGAAGTGATTGACTCTTGTAATCAGTGGTGCAATCGTGAATTTCCGTACTTTGTAGGATGAGTTTTGGCGTCAGTTTTCCTTCCCAGGATGGGAGGTTAGGATGACAGCCCTCAGAGGAGTCTGGGGAGAGAAACAGAGCCATCCAGAGCATCTGGCTGATATTTGTTTGGAACCTTTTATCAGTTCAAGCCTTTCCTAGGCGACTGATCATGCAAGGGAGATCCTTTTTGGCTGCTGTTAGAGAAAACACTGGTATTTTTAAAATTGCAGGTAGAGTTTCAGAGGCTCTTTAATAATTTAATCATAGTTGAGGGAGGCTTTTGCAACTGGTAGAGCCTGACCAAGAGAGGATCTTAATTGTCCAGCAGGTATCAGCGCCTCCTACGCGATGTGTGTCCGGTACGATGGAGTGGAAGTGGATGAAACATACTGTGATGCCCTAACCCGGCCAGAACCTACTCACGAATTTTGCACAGGCAGGGACTGCCAGCCTAGGTGAGTGGGAACAACATCAGCTATCCGTGGCTACCACACATCTTAGTGAGGATTATTTCTGGCTCGGCAGCCATTTCGGGGCTGGAAGTTGTGCTTAAATAGCTAAACCCACATACCCTCATGTGGGAAAAAAAGGGAAGGAATTTGTTGTGTCTAAATTACCTGCTAAGCACAAGGCTGTCTTTCAAGACCAGCCCCCCTTAACATCACCATCTACGTGATCAGCAGGTTCACAACAGCAGTGACTGGGTCAGGGAGTCCCAGGAACACACGCACTCCCCAGCCACCCTCTGTCCCTTGGTCCCCTTACCTGGGTTTTCCTTTGTGCTTTCTCTCCCGGTGCTCGTGGAGGTGGGAGACCAGCCGGTGGAGCGAATGCTCCAGGACCTGCGGCGAGGGCTACCAGTACCGCACCGTGCGCTGCTGGAAGATGCTGGCTCCAGGCTTTGACAGCTCCGTTTACGATGACCTCTGTGAGTCAGCCGGGCTGGCCAGGCCCATGGAGAGGAAAGCCTGCAAGAACAAGGCCTGTGGGCCTCAGTGGGAGCTCTCCGAGTGGTCTGAGGTAGGCGGCAGGGGAGCTTTGCATCCAAGAATGGGCTGGGGCCTGGAGGAAAATGACAAATGTTGGGCGCTTCCCTCTGGTGTGTGCTGAGGAAGCGCTGCCCGACTATGCCCTGGGGAAGCAAGTACTGCCTTTACCCCCTTTTTCTCTTCCCCTGCTGGGGTCCTGCCCCATTCCACTAGTGCAGCAGGAGGAAAACACCTCTGCTTGTCCCTCTTGCGCTCTGCTTCTGAGCCCAGGGGCTGGCTCTGTGTCGTTGCAGTGTTCAGCCCGGTGCGGCACCCAGGGGACGATGAAGCGGGAGGTGCGCTGCTCGGTGGAGGCACCTCTCTGCGACGAGTCCCGCAAGCCCAGCAGCGAGAAGGCGTGCTCAGGACCCCCCTGCGACCGCCGCTGGACCGCTTCCGACTGGGGCCCGGTGAGTCCAGAGGGGCTGCTGCTCCCTCCCCCAGTGCTGGGGGTACAGGGCTGGCAGGAGAGGGCAGACAGGCAGTCACACCAGTGGTCTGCTGGCTTTTGTCTGGCAGAGGCTAGAGAATCGGTGATAATCTGCATTTTTGCCTCTCCATGCTGCAAAAATGCAGATAATTACTGATTAAGTCTGAGGGGAGCTCTTTAATAATTCGGGATCCTCCTGGCACCTGAAGAATGAACCCCCACCGACCAGATGTACCTCTAAAGACCCATGGGGTCGAGTGCCACACAGCCTCAAATGCAAGCCTAGGCTCCAGGCTCAAGGCCCCCAGCACACTGCAGACCGTGGCCCCTCAACCTTCCTGCTGTAACTAAATACCCTCTGTTCCTCCAAGTGCTCAGGTGCCTGTGGTGAGGGACGCATGAGTCGCTTCGTCGCGTGTCGCAACCTGGAGGGCAAGGTGATCTCCGACGCGCAGTGTGACCCGGCCACCAAGCCCCTGGCTGTCCACCCGTGTGGAGACAAGAACTGCCCCGCGCACTGGGTGGAGCAGGAGTGGGACCAGGTAAAGCCCACCCCACATCCCACAGGAGCTGGTGGGTGCCTGGCTCCCTTGGCAGAGCTGTACCCTTGGCACAGCTCCTTCCACAAAGAGGGAAGTAGCAATGCCCCAGTTTGCCCCCCCATACCTCAAGGTTTGTGGCACTTGCTGCCTTCCCAGGGAGCTCCATTGGAGGGCAGCAATGTCCTAAGGAAATCCTCCTCCTCTCCCACCTCTGGCTCCCAGCTGGCAGTTGCATGTACCTCAGCAGAGCTCTGTCCAGAATCTGCACTCACCTCCCCAAGATTTTGGTCCCACCACTAAAGAGAAAGCCCCCCAAAAAAACAACTGGTTCTCTGATTAATAATAGCCAGAGGTAAGCCTGGACCACAGCCCAAGTCCCTGCCCTGGAAGTCACATCCAGCCCAAGGACGCTTACTTGCCTCAGGACTCAGTCAAGTGAACGTGGCCCAGGTGCCTCATTCTATCCAGACATCATTCTCACCAGCCTACTCCCTCTCTGTTGGTCAAGGAGCTTTGGGCTTCCCATGACAAGCTGGGCCAAATCCCAGAGCATCCAGAAGGGACACATTGACTCACTTGTGGGGTTTGACCTTGTAAAGTCTTGAGAAAAACAGGGATTCACAGAGCGTTGAGGAAGACGGTCAGATAAACAACCAAGCTCTCCCTCCCCTCCAACCATAGCTAAGCCTCTGTTCTCCTTTTTGTAGCCTTCCTAGCTGTTGACTGCATTCAGCTGTGTCCCTCCAGCACTGGTTAATGAGCAGAAACTGGTTAAACCTGGGGACCTGTGGCAGTCCTGTCACCCTTTCCTGCTCTGGCCCATGGTGTGGGTCACGTACAATGCTGTGGTACAATTTTTTCAGTTATGCCCTGGTGACTAAACTCACCTGAACCCTGAAAGGCCAGCTGGGCTCCCCACCTTTGCCTGTGCCAGCGTCTTTGCTGTGTTCTCTCAGCACAGGATGACTCAGGAGGGATGCAAGCCAGCTGTGCTGGCCCCGGCATGGTGAAGACAGGCACAGAGCAGTGAAATCTCAAGCTGGCAACTGCTGCTGTGGGCATCAGGGAGCGGAGCAGAACTAGAATCAGATCCTGCTTCTCTTGGTGTTGCCCTGAGAAGCTGAGCCCTGCCACCTGTGCCTGCATGGCTGTGGGCTGAGCTCGGGTACTTGTCCATGCAGGTCTCCTGTAACACACCAGTTTGATCCCCTTGGCCCACGCACTGCTTGTCAGTGTTCCAAGACACAGGTTGCTGCACAAATATGCTACACGGTCTTCGAGGACATAGAGGTACATAAAATAAGCCAGAAACAGCCTTTTGTAGTCTTACCTTGACTCTTCCAGGTCCCTTGTGGTAGCTGCTCTCAGGCCGGCCAAGCTCAGTTCAGCATCCCCCACGGATGGATTGTGCACAAATAACCAGCTCCTGTCCTGCTCCCCAAGAAATTCAGCTCCCTTGCAGGCAGCCATTGCTCCTGTGACTGCCCCCTTCAGACTGGTGTTAGCGCACGTTTAGCACCTTGCTTCTGAGCAGGATGCCATCTTACCTGGAGCTGCACAGCCGAGGAGCATCATTTGTTTTGTTTTCTTCCCCAGTGTGATGCCAGCTGTGGGCGAGGGATGAAGACCAGGGTCGTCTTGTGCGCAGGCTTGGAGAATGGGGTGTACAGGGAGTACCCTGAGAAGCGCTGTGAAGCCTCCCAGAAGCCTGAGGAGCACGCTGCCTGTTTCAAGAGGCCGTGTTCGACGTGGTTCACTACCTCCTGGTCACAGGTAGGGCTCAGGGAGGTGGGGAAGGGGGAGATGAGGCCTCATAACCCTGGTCGATGGCGTACAACCTGCGCTGAGGATTTCTAGCAGCCTGATCTGCCGAGGGCTCTGGTAGGAGTGGACAGGACTGCAAGCTCTCTCAGCAGACCAGGCAGCAGAGGGAGAGGCTGGCACACAGGAGCTGGAGAGCATGTGGATTATGGCCTCAGGCAAGAGCATGCACTGCACTGCAGGCATTACAGCCACGTCTCTTCTGCCAGGAGTCAGTGTTCTGTCCTTCCCTTGATTTTCTGCTAGTGAGCATTTAGGGAGTGGGGGTAGGCAAAGCTGTGGCTGACTCACAGCAGCCATTTTGTCCATCGTCAATCATAGCATCAGCGTTCAAAGCAAAAGCAACTCTGAGCTGCGTTAAAAAGCAGAAAGCCAACTCCTCCCTCGCCCTGCCCCAGCTTCCAGGGGCTCTCCTCCAGCAACCAAAGGGGAGCTAAATCTGAGATCAGTGTGGGATCTGACCCAAGTCTCCTCAAGAATAGTCTCCAAAGGGAGGCCTTGCTGGAAGAAAGAACTCGGCACCCACAGGAAAATAAAAACCTGCCTCTCATGATCCCTTCCCTCGATCTCCACAGTGCAGCAAGACGTGCGGTGCTGGTGTGCGGCTGCGCGAGGTGAAGTGCTACCAGGGGGAAGCGTTGGCTCAGGGCTGCGACCCCGCTTCCAAGCCAGAAGCCAGGCAGACGTGCCAGCTCCAGCCGTGCCCCACAGAGGCACCAGGTGAGGCTGGGAGGGCAGGGAGGGTGGGAGAGGAGCCCTGGGAGCCCTTTACTCCCCCCAGCTCTCAGCTGGGGGAAGCACATCTCCTTTTGTAACCCTTTCTGTGGATGCTTCTGCTCCCCAGAAGAAGACTGTGAAGACAAAGTGACGGCCAACTGCGTGCTGGTGCTGAAGGTGAAGCTGTGCTCTCACTGGTACTACAGGAAGGCTTGCTGCCGGTCATGTCGGCTCAAGTCACCCTGACTACTACCAGCCTGTAGTTCCCTTCCAAATTCAGGGGCAAGACCCCCCTTGAGCCAGACTTTACCACTTGAAGCCACACCACTTGGCTTGGCTATGGAGCCAGTCCCTGTAGACGAGCCTGCTCAGCAAGGAAGGACTCCTAGGACTTAGTCATCACCGTTCCCTCTCCACCAAGAGGTTTTTATTCAAAACAAACCGTCGGTTCCTAGAAAGCTACTGAGAAGTGAGTTGGGAAAGCCTGTCCCTGCTGTCAGTCATCTCTGAAGAGCTCCAGGTGGAGGTGGTGGGGCGCAGAGGCCAGCCCACAGCAGGGCACAGACCACAGCAGCAGTCGCTCTGCCCTGCCCTGCTGATTTTTCTACTACAAGGGTTATTTCCAAATCACAGCCCAAAAATTCTGTGTCACAATAAAGAGCTAAACCGTAAACCTGTGTTTTTGGGGGTGCATGTACCTAGGTCCAGGCAAGGGAGGAAGAGGGACATGAGAGGGACAAGAGCAGGAGCAGGTAAGGTGGGGTGGAAAAATCCTTGCACCAGGACTCTTACAGGGCAGCACTGGATGAACCCTGTTTTGTGTTGCCTGCCAAAGAACAGCAATCACTCCTGTTTTGTATTTCAAAGTCCTCATTTATTTCTGACATTGAGTTTGGACCCATAGCTCAGCAACAAAGACAGAGAATAATAACAGGGGAAATCTGAAGTGGAAAAAATCTGAGATCCCTTCCCCCTCCCTGTGCTGTTCCTCCGCCATTCCCCAAACCTCACAACCTACAGCTGTATCTCCCGTGTCTCCTGCCCTTTTGGACTCACCCATCCGTCTGCAGCCACGCCAGGCCAGGGGTTTGTGCTGGCTGCCAGGACGATCCTCGCCTTGGCCATCCGGCGACTTGGGATCTGCCTCACCAGCTGTGGCACCCTGTTAGCTGGCGACAGGTCACATTTTGTTTGCGTGTGATGGTGATGATGATCTGGTTGCCTTCCTCTCACCAGAGGGGTGACCACAGAAGCAAAGCCTGGTGTGTTATTCCCACCCGGAGCAGGTTGCGGTAGGAGGCCTTGCTTCACGCCAAGAGGTAGAGTTGAGTGCCGGGAGCTGCCGTGCCCTCGGGTTGCGCTGTGATAATTTCACGTGGCTCCGAGCAGGAGGGAGACCTGGCTGAGCTCTGGCAGGAAAGGACAGGATTCGCTGGGTTAGCCAAGAAAAACTGTTAGAGACTATGTTCCTGGGGAGGAAGACTGGGTGGGAGCCAGGGACTATCATCCAGGGAGCTTCACTGCTGCTAACTTTCTTCTTCCCCCTGCCTGCCCTTAACGTGAGAGGCCATGAAGGCCTGCTCTCGCTATTTGGAGAATGGAAGGAGACTGTAAAAGAGATGCAGCTAGGCTGAGGCTGGGGATAATGGAAATGCAATGTCTTTCTGGTCCGGAGATGGAGGAGACAGTGAATAATTGCTCAAAAGGCTGTGTAAAATGCGGGCTGGGGCACGGTGGTGGGATTGGATTTGGCATTCGTCTGGCTCCTTTTCTTTGGGTAGTATGAGCAGAGGTGCCAAGCCATGAGGAGGTCAAGCATGTCAATTAGCCTTTTGCCTGCTAACGAAGACATCTGAAGGCACGTGCCTCCATACCGAGACCTCCTTCACCTGTGCTTGAATGGGGGAGGTCAAGAATTACCAATCCAAATCCTTTCGGTAGTCCAATTTCCAAACTGTGGAGGTGCAAAAAATCCCGAAACCAAACCATTTCGACTTCTGAGCAGTTCTGCCTGATATGGCAAAGGCAAGGCAAGTGGCTCCTGCTCCTGCTTCTAGCAGCATCCGCACGGCCAGGGGGGGCTGGGCCGGCTGCATCCCTCCCCCTGCCATTAACAGGGAGCGCCGGTTGCTATGGGAAGTGCCCGTGAACGATGGAGACGTCCTTTTGGTCATTTTTCACCTAATTTGATTTATGGAGGAAGAAGGAACTTTCCCACGTTCGTTCTGCAGACGGAGCTGCTGGCTGAGCTGTCGTTAGCAGCCGCGGAGCCACCGAGCCCAGGCTCGGGTCTTGCAGCCTCTTCTTCCAGAAGTACAGGAGGGGGGACCCCGAGCACCTGGAAATCACGCTCCGTGAGAGGTTGTGATCCTTGCACAGGAGGAGACCTGACCCGGCAGCCTCTGCTGTTGCGAGCAAAAGCCATCCTCAAACCAGCTGTGCTTGGCTGGGGGTCCGGGCAGGGCTTTGGATGCTGAAGGTGATCAAACTGCAGTTACCTAGGGGTGCAAACCTCCTCGTAAGTAAAGTCTCGATATCTGTATGGGCCCAAGCTAAAACCGCTCCTAAGGAAGCTCGTGAGGAGTGGAAGAGGTGGGGTTTTGGCTGCAGAGGGATCTACCTGTGCCCGTTCGCGTGGGTCTCGCAAGCAACTTCGCCTCCCCTCACGGCGATCCAAATCCTCTCTGGTAACTTCTCCTACATGCGTGCAGACCGACGTGGCTGGGAGCTGGTGCCATTTTTGGCACTAACACAGAAGCAAAGTGCTCACGGTGCCCCGGCCTCACATCCCCCCGTGCTGCGGGGGCTCCCCTCTCCATCCCTCGGGGCGGCTGCGTGGGGACTCCGGGGAGCCTCGGGTAATTAGGTTGGTTTGTACTGTACATAGCCCTCATTAGACAAGTCCCTTCAGGAGATAGAGCAGTAATTACACTTATTGTGGGTTCGGAGACCGCCGTCTCGACATCCTCCCTCGATGATGTCTCCCTTACCCGTAAAGCTTCGCCGTGCCGGCTCAGCAGGAGGGCTGCACGGGTGCCGCGCTCCTCCCTTGCACGGACCCCAACCCAGCCAGGGGGGCGAAAATCCCCATCCCCGAAGCGGGGCGCGTTGCGGGGGGGTCACACCTCCGTGCTGATGGCCCTCGGCGGGGGGAAGCTCTCGCGGAGGAGGCCGTGCCGGCTCAGCGCGAAGCCCTGCAGGGCCGCCAGGTTGACGGGCGGCCCCATCTCCTTGTAGCAGGCGGGCGCGTAGGCGACCCGCTCGCCCCCGTTGCGCACCATGTCGGGGGTCCGTATGTAAAAGGGGGAGCCGTAGGGGGAGCAGGTCGGGCAGCGGGGGTGAGCCCCGTGCTGGTTGAGCTCGGGGACGGGCGTGGGGCTGCCCTGCCCGTCCACAACGCGGGAGTTGCAGGCGTTGCACGTGCCGGGGTGAGAGTGCGTGGGAAGGTCGGGCTCTTCCTCTTCCTCCTCCTCCTCCTCCTCCTCTTCCTCATCGGAGTCATCTTTCTTGCAGCAGTAGTACTGCGGGAGAGGGACAAGGCTTTTATCAGAAAGCGCAGGCACAATGAGTTAGAGAGGAAGGAACGGGGAGAGGCTGAAATCCAGCCTCATCCATCACGTTTGGCTGCCGCAACTTAAAGGCCAGCCTCGCCTCTGTTAATAAATAAAAATAATTACAAACAAACAAACAAACAGAGTAGAGGTGGAAAAAGTGGTGAAGCAGGAGTGGTTCAGCTGGATGAAACCTGGCAGGATGCAGCCGGAGGGGGCTCATCCTTTCCCCTGGCAGCGAGGTTTGCATGGGGAAGGCGTTTTGGGATACCACCCCCCCAGTAACTGCTGTGCTGCCCGTCACGTTGCTGCATGGCGCAGACTTCGCATTAACTTTTAAAAAGCAGGAGGTTGTAGCCGGCCGTTGTTGAAAGCCTCCTCGTCTAATTTACTTGGGGAAAAAAAAAAAAAAAAGCTCTCCATCTGGTATTGCAGCCCCATCCGAGCCTACACCTGAATGAGCAAGTGCTGCAGATCCTCAAAAGCCTTGGGTGGAGGAACAGCAGCACCCGGGGAGATGTGGTGCTGCAGCTCCCTCCCCATCACCAGCGAGAAGCCCCCCAGATCCCTCCTGTGGCAGCGATGCTGCTGGGACCCCCGCAGCCCCCCCGGTGTGACGGGGACGTCCCCGGCGCTCACCTGTAGCCTACAGTAGCAGAGCACGGCGATGATGCACAGTAGGATCACAGTCGCTAGGATTCCCCCGGTGATAACAACAGTTCCCGCTGTCATCCGACCGATTCTCCATCAAACTCTGAAAGGCAGGATGTGACCGTAGGGCTTGGGGGCTACAAGGACACGGGGGCAGGCATCGCGTCCCCCTGCCACCCGGGGGCCACTTACCCAGGAAAGCGGTGGCCGAGCCTCGCGGTCACGCCGGCCCCGGGGCGGCCGGCCGGGGTTGGCAGCTCCGCATGGCCCCAGGGAGACTCCTGCGGCCCTGGGAGGGGGGAGAAGGAGAAAAAGGTGTCATCAGCTCACCCCCCTGCCTGCTGTCCCCTTCGGTCCAGTCCCCAGCACCATGGCAAAATAATTCACTTCTACAGGGAGAACGGCAGGGTGCTGCAAAAATGGGGAAGACCAACCTGCCAGGCTGGGAGAGGATGCTCCAGAATCTGTGATTTCAGCCCAAATGAGTGAGCTGCACCCAGGAAGCCCTGCTGGGCCATCCCGTGCCTCGGGTGATGCAGTGGCTTTGGGGAAGCGTGGGCAGGGCTGGCGCAGCCGCACTTCATTACCGGCCCCGCAGCCCCCTAATTGATAGGGCCCCAGAGCCAGCCGGGGAAATCTAATTACCCGCTGCCCACGTGGCCCTGGCTGATGGAGGGGGGTGGCAGCTTCCAGGCGAGACCTGCCGACCCCGCTCCTCTGCAGCACGGCCCCAGGCAGCTTCATCCCCATCTCCCCTCCCTCTCCATGCTTCCGCGCATCCCGATTCTTGCTCCCCGAGCCCCAGCCTGAGCTTTGGGAGGGGCATCGCTCAGACCAGAGCCCTGGATGGGGCCAGATGAGGTCCTCCTGCGGGTTTTGCACCCTCAGGGACCACACAGAGAGGACAGGGGACAGCCAAGGAGGGATGTGACGCCTCTGCCACCCAGCCGTGGGGTTTGCAGGAGAGCGACCCCCGGCAGGTCCAGCCTGCTGCAAATTGATTTCCTGCGCTCAGCCAGGCACCATGCGAAGGCAAGAGGATGGTTCGTGTTTAATTTCCTCCTCAAGCTGCTCTCACATGTGAAACAGGGAAAAAGAAAATAAAAAAATGAAAGAAATCGATACGTCCAAAAGGCAGCTGATAGCACCATCCGTCAGCAGAGCTAAGGACGGGGACGGACACGTGGCCGTCATAACCGAGCTGCACCCTGAGATGCTGCCAGGAGCTGGGGGCAGCAGGGACTGGCTCGGGGACATGGGACAGCGCCCGGTGGTGTTATCGCATCCCGAGGCAGCTCCATTAGGAGGGAGGAGACGACAGTGGTTTGGCCGGGAAAGGCGAACTGCTGACCTCTGGCAGCCCCCAGGAGGGAGCGCGCGGCGAGCCGGGGTGATGGATGCTGCAGGCAGCCGCTCGCATCCAGAAAACTTCATTTCGTGGGAGCCGTGATCTGATTTAGAGCTCCGAGGGCAGCATCCGATTAGCCCCAGGTCCGGAGAGAGCGAGTGGGCTGCCGCGGGGAGCAGCTTCAGCAGGGAGGGACCAGCCCCGGGGATGGGGCATCTGCTGCCCCACCGCGGTGTGGGGACAGGGGACGGGTCCCCAAGCTCTCCGTGTCCCCGGGGTGAGCCCAGCTGCCCCAAATGAGCCAGAGGAGAGCCTGGGTGGCTCAGAAAGGGCTTCAGCCCCAGGGTGGGCATCAGGATCACCAGCACCCAAGCCACAGCTCAGTGAAAGCAATATCTCTACCAGCATTAGGAGGGTCCCCTCCTTGGGGCTGCATGACCCCGCATCCCGGTGACAAGCGCAGCTGCAGCGTTTGGTGTCCCCCATCCCCAGCGGGGACGCAACGCCCGGAGCAGCCACCTCCAGCTCCTCCGGGCGTGCAGGCAGAGCCGCTTGGCGCAGAGATACATTTCCTTTAATTGATGCCGCGTGGCAGCGCAAAGTTACGGCCTGGAAAGCGACTCTGGAAGCGAGCGGCTTCTATATTTACTCCCCTCGCCGTGCCGCCCACGTCAGACGCGCGCAGCTGGGAGGCGAGGCTCCAGCTCCCGTGCCCAGAAAGCAGCCGGCTGAGGATTTGTTTTTTAGGACACCACGCACGGAGCCGGGGGCTCTGTCCTCGTGCCCCCAGCCCCGTGCGAGGCAGGCTGCTGTGGGCAAAGCGCCGGCGCGGCCCCAGCCCGGCTCTGCTTCCCCGGCTTCGCTCTGCAGCGCGGGGCTAATTCAATGAGATGTCTGCCTGGTAAATTAGCCCGACCGCTGCCTTACCAGAATCCTCTAACAGGCCTAATTGGAACAAAACAGCAGCAGGGGCTGCCGCCTCCAAGCAGAGCGGAGGGCAGCTCCTGGCCTCTTTCGGGTCACGTTTTTTTTTTTGCCTCACTTGGGTCAAGCACCCGCAGAGCCGAGCCGGGGCTTTGCACTGCAGGGCTGCAGGTCAGGGCAGAAAGAACCCCAAATAACAGAGCCCCCCTCTCCCGCTCCATCCACGGATGGTCCCAGCCCGGACAGGGGCATTTCAATTGGATTTTTGGCTGCAGCCAGCCCTAATTCAGAAACGGGGGGATCTGGGCACGGCATCTGCAACCCCATCACAGCAGGGCCATGAAAACTCTGATCCCAGACTGCTGTGGAGGGCAGCAAGGAGAGCTCTTCCCAGCAGAAAGGGTTTGGGACACCCACTTCCAATATGAGGGTTTTTTTGTGCTGTGCCCTGCAGCGTCTCAAGCCATGTGGGTTTGCCCCAGAAGCGTCGTATGGGAAATGAACCCTGCTTAGCCTCATGTTTGCATGCACCAATTGCAAAAAACAAACAAACAAGCAAGCAAACAAACAGAAAAACACAACCTCAAGAAATTAGTAAAAAAGAAATTAGCTGGGGCTGCAAGGCCAGGATAAGGGACAGAGACCTCCGCTCGATCCCCAGGGCTGCACACCCCGTGCCGATACGATCTGCTCTGCTCCCCAGTTCGATTTTCTTGCCACTTCCACCAAAGGAGCGAGCGTGCAGTGGGACTAATCCCATTAGGGGATTTAGCAACACCAAATCTGTCTTCATCCCGGGCGTGAATTGAACGAGGAGGATCAATCCCGGCAGGGTCACGGTGCTGAGCATCCCGGCGCATCCTGGTGGATCGGCCCCAGCAGGATCTGAGCGAGCACAGCAGCCAGCTCCCATGAAGGATTTTTTTTTTTGCATTAAGCCGATTTCCCACTGGCTTTTTAAAACTACCTCCGTGACAGCCTCACCTCCAGGCTCTGAGAAACACCTTGCTAGCTCCTGCCTTGCCCTGGACACACCGATGCTCTCACCCTTTCCACCTTGTTTCCATCACTCCCGTGAAAACCCCATGCCGGCCACCCAATTTCCAGCCAGATCTGCTCAGCCTCAGCACACCGTGAAACACGCAGCCCGATGCACGAAACACAACTCAGGCAAAACCTTTCCTTGCAGCTGCCGGCTCTGCTCCTGCAAGCTATGCCCCAGGGGAATGCTCTCTCTGAGCTTTTGCAAAGCCAACGGCTTCAGCCCCCGGGCAGTGCTGTCCCAGTCGGGTCTGCTGTGGCTTGAAGTCACCCAATTGATTTGATTTGCTATAAAAATAAATAAATTCTCCTGCTCAGGGACGGTGACCGTGCATCCTACGGGGCAGAGAGGAAAGGCGACGGCGTGTTTTTGGAGCAGGGACGGTGCCGCTCCTGGGGACACGCAGGGGACGTCCCCCACATCTCCAGGAACCTGCAAGCGTGCCAGGGAGCCAGCGAGTGCTGAGGCTGGGATTCAATTAGCAAAGACATCGTTAAGGGGTAACGAGCATTCAGCAGCCAGGCAGGGAGAAGGAATGGGAGCTCTGTGGCCGACGCATCCCTGCCAGGAGACACGGGGGCTGCAGGGAATTTGCCCCCAGGCAGGGGATTCGGAGGCCCCGATGGGGGGATTTGTCATCTTTCTCTGCTGCCCACCCATCGTGGGCACGTCTGGAAGTCGTCAGCAGCTTTAAGGAACCCGGAGCCAAAAGGGCTGGTTACATCTCTGTCATTGCCTAGCCAGGCGGGTGCCTTGCAGCATCAGGGAGCAGAAAACCCTAATTCCGCTGCTCCTCCCCAAAAATACACCTTAGGGACGGTTGTGGTTGTAACCCCTCTCCTGCAGTACTTGCGGGGCTGAAGGGTGCTCCGCAGAGGTCCCTTTCCATGGAAAAGGGCTGCAGGAGGGGGTGGCGGGGGAGCGCAGCCTCTTCCTGCGCATGATGCAAGACCTGCTGCTCCGGCTGCCAGCATCCCCCCGGCGTCTTCGCTGGGAGTATAAACAGATATTTATTTTAATGACTCATTAAGGCCTAATCACATTCACCGAGCAATACAGAGAGAGGAGCCTCCCACGTGCAGCAGTACTACAGCCGGCAGCGCTCCGCGGACCTTTTCCTCCCCAAAAGCACGGGCAGACAGAGCGGCGCTGCGGTGGGGCTGGGTGCCATCCCTGGAGCAATGGCAACACGGTCAGCATTCCAAAAGACCCAGAAAAGTCTCCATTTTCCTCTTCCTCCTACCTGCCATGGGGGATGCTGTGGTCCAGGGAGAAACCAGGACCAGCTGGGAGCTTGGGGCGAGCTGGGTGCCCACCCGCAGAGCCTCAGACCAGTTCCTGATGGGTCCTGGCCTTCAGGACCCGTGTCCTCTCCCCTCGCTTTATTTAGGGGAAAAATTCAAAAATGAGATTTGGTGACACTTTGTTTGCCCTCAACGATGGTCACACCAAGAACAGTCCAAAGTGGTGGGGAACCAGTCAGAACCACGCTGCCCTGCCGGGGTGCCAGTGCCCAGCCCCAACCCTGCTCTCCTGGGCTAAATCCCAGCAGAATCACTCCAGGAGCACTTCCAGAGCCCTTTTTCCACAAAGCGCTGAGAAAACCCCATCCACGGCTGCTTCTCAGGACCACCCGCTCCTTTTGGCCACTGCGTACCAGCAAGGAGAGGAGATGTAACGCAGCCAAGTGTGAGCCAGCTTTGCAGAGCAAACCCCCTTGTTATCTGCTGGGTTTCAGAGCAGCTGTTTGGTTTTCAGGTTGATTTAACCTGCGGTGTGGCACGGGCTCCTCCATCCTCACCCAGCCCTTGCTGCCCGGCCGGTCGCACACGCAATGTCACACGCGGCACCGAGGGAAATGTGGCATGAAGCCTCTTAGCACTGTCAGCAAGCGAAGTGTGAAACGCGCTTTCAGGAAAACACGGGTAACAGAGCCTCGATAAATATTGCATCTGGGTGGGAAGGCAGCGTGGGGCTCGGGGGGATGCAGGCTGGGGAGGAAGAGGAGGCGGCCGGGGTAGGGACCGGCTTGTTTCTGCTTGCCTAGGGGGTTTTGGGGTTTAGGCATGGCCACAGAGAAGACCCCACAAAGGGAGCAGCACTTGTATTTCTGCTCCTGCCCGTGGCTAAGCTCAGCTGGAGGCAGCGGGCAAGGAGCTTCTCCCTTTCTAGAAATCACCGCTCGGCTTTTCCTACCCCTGCCCTCCAGCCTGGTTCAGTTCATGGGTGGCCACAGCTGAAACGGAGCAGCCAGGCCCCAAAAAGCAATCCCATGGTGGAGGAGCCAC